CCTCTTATGAAATACGTTGGACTGTCTACTTTGCAAAAAAAGGGTCATTTGGGGGATATCTGTACTGTTCTGACATTCTTGGACCTAAAGAAATTAGATTGGCCGTCAGTACTTCAGGATTGATCAGTTTTCAGATATATCCCATTATACAGGATTTTATTATTATACAGGATGTATATAGCGCCAACAATTTGCGCAGTGCTTTCCAATATAAGGGAGACAGTACAATTACAATACATTTCAGTACAGAAGGAATAGGAGGGCCCTGCTCGTGGAGCTTACAATCTAAAGGAAGGGGGAGGTGATACAAAAGGTGATAGCTGCGGGGATGATCTGGTGGAGGTGATTCAAGTACAGTTCTAGGTGGAGGTGGGGTAGGCTTCCCTGAAGAAGTGAGTTTTCAATAATCACCTAAAGGCAGACAGGGTAGGGGCTGACCGGGCATGCTGTGGTAGGGAGTTCCAGAGGATGGGAGAGGCTCTGGAGAAGTCCTGGAGGCGAGTGTGGGAGGAGGTGATGAGGGAGCTAGAGAGGAAGATATCTTGGGAGGAGTGGAGTAGTATAATAGTTTGTGAACTCTATAACTTTCCTACAGACTAAATAATAAATACTAATGTGGGTTATTTTCACCAAAGAAATGTAGCAGAATACATCTTGGCCTAAATTGAAGAACAATTATTTATTTGCAAACTTTTATAACAGAAACAAAGAAATACATGTTTTTTTTTTTCCAAAATGTTTGGTCTTTTTTTGTTAATTTAGCAAAATATAAAAACCCCAGCAGTGATTAAATACCACCAAAAGAAAGCTCTAGTTGTGTGAAGAAAATGATAACATTTTAGTTTGGGTACAGTGTTGTATGACCGCGCAATTGTCATTCAAAGTGTGACAGCGCTGAAGCCTGAAAATTGGCCGAGGCAGGAAGGGGCAAAAGTTCCCCGTATGGAAGAGGTTAATAAATGAAACAATTTATCTTAAATTGTAAACATTGCAGCCACATTTTATACCAAAATATAAGTTTTATGTTTAAATATGTAAATGTTCTGTCATTGTGAATGGATACTGATGGATGTTGCCACCCATGATCTACATTCTACTTAATTCCAGATCTACTGAGGGAAATTCAGTAAAGACCACATATTGTTTTAAGTTGGAGAATCACCAATAACAAAGTAGAAAGTAGTCACATTCCTACTGTAAGTACTGTCTGTCTACAGCTGAATTTCCTAGAAATAGCTTTCTAATTAGGTCACATCACGACCCTGGTAGTTAAGAGGACAGATAGTATGGACTAACACAGGCAGACATTTATGCAGGGCTGACCTCAAAGCCGAACTCCAGAATATGTTTTATTTTTGGGATATAGCACTATCAAATCATTTAAGTCAATGTCCTTCTGGATGCTGGTTACTGCACATATCCTCCATTCAGTGAAGCCATATACTACGCATTTTACTTTGTGAATCATGCTTCATCCTGTATGAGGGGAAGAATGTTTTTTAAAGACTGCCTCTCAACTGTTCAACTTCATGATAAACTGTCAAAGAAGAATGCAAACCTTTAGGTGACTAGGAATTAGTAAGAAAATATACTATTATGAATTTTAATACATCTAGAGGCACAAAATTCTAATTTAAAGCTGACATTCATGCTAACAGCTAAATACACAGGATACCTATTTACTGCCTTTCAAAAGAATTTGTATTTTTGTTCATCTGGCACTGAGATTTACACAGCTTTACTCCACAAAACTTTTTTTTTCTCTGCTGCAGTTCAGTAGTCTTTACAGATCTCCTTTTCACACGCAACCTATGACTGGACTTTAAAAAGAGAAGGAGTACACTAAAGAGCTCAAGTGTCTGGGGATGAGGTCAGTGTTTGGTCTGATTGTAAGTTCAGACCGAACATTTGCTGTTCAGATGGTCGTCTGAATGCTGAATATTTAAGGCGTTCAACATAGATGAATGTGATGACTTCTGGCTGATAATGGGTGCTAAAGAAGCAGTGGGTGCTTGCACCCACCCACCACATCCTTTACCAACCATTTACATCACCTAACCCATTTACTTACATGGCTGGAAATCTCCGACCTCATTAGCAACTGGGTGGAGAATGGAAAGGGTTATATCATTGCATAAATATTGCCATATTTGGGTAATAACATGCATATTGGTGGGGACTCTAAGCACATCTTTTCATTCTTGCTGTAGGATGTGCTACAGCATAAGTGGCATTAATTAAATTAAAGAAAAAAAAATTACAGTTTAAATTGCCAACAACAACCCTTAGGTGTCTGATATGTATTTTGGAAGGGGGGGCTTTCAGGTTTATGTGCCATTTTTGTCTTTTAAAAAAAAAAGAAGTCAGGAGGGAGATGTCATTTGTCAGCAATGTAAATGCCTGTGCTCTGTTAAAAAAAGTCACTGCTCTTGAATGCATGGCAATACAAATTTTGCATTGGTACATGTTCTCAGAGCAGTGCCTGCCCCCATGCTATTTTATGACACTCCTTTGCCTATTAGCACAAAAAATGGGCAATTTTAATTTGACATATTCGACTCCAATTGATTTCAGTGGGGTTCGGGTTCCGCATCCAAACTTCTTTGAAGTTTGACAAACCTTGCTTGAACTAAACCCAGGGCAGGTCAGCTTATCACTACTCTTTCTATCAGCACACTCCTGGCACTGCAGCACAAATGATTGGCTCCTTGTGCTGTTTCACATCCTCACAGCCTGACTTCTGCTATACATGAACTGTACAAGGCTGATAACAAGTGAGATTCAGGTAATTTAACTGCTTGCAATTTAAATGCATGTAAAGGTGTATTCAAGTTGTTGTAAAGGCTGAAGGTTTTTTCCTATCCTTCATGCATTCTATTCATGAAGGTAAAAAACCCTTCTGTGTGCTTGGTTTCCACTGCTGTTAATCACAGCCAGTGAGAAGCGAGCAGGGGATGGGGTTGAGCCAGGCTCTGTGTGTCTATAGCAGGGCTCTGGAGAGAGCACGCACAAGCTGCTTGCTGGGGGAACTCAGCATGGGGGAGGGGCCAGGTGTGCCGGCTTGGGAACCAGAGAAAAGGGGGATTGGGGTTGTATCTTTTATGTCTGTCTGGAGTTCAGTTTTAAGAGTGCCCATGGAAATTTGCCCTATTAAAAAAAAAATTCTGATTGCTATGGCCTGATGTGAATTACTATAATTACACATCCGCACATTCTGGATTCTCTTCCACCAGAAAACTTCTTTATCTGCTCCCTTCATGTACTTGAATTTGTTCCAGGGTTCGGTATTGTAAGGGGGATACCCATCTATCAGTGATGATAGTAAATATGATGGTTGTACTCTGAACATCTTTTGTAATGGAGAAAGTGATGCTTGGTAGCAGTTTAATATTCATTTACTACTATACCTAGAAATTTACCAAATTGCATCCCACATAAAACTAGTGACTATATTCAGCATGTAAACTCAATAATCATTCACTATGTTTAACCTCTTTTCTCATATTTTTTAAAACTTTAGGCAAAGAACAGCTCCTACATATAAGAAATTTGAGAATCATGATCTGTAACCATGTTGATTCAAAACATTTTGTTAATATGAGCATTACAAACTCACAGGAAATGCATATCAAAGCAGTTCTGATACAAAAAATATTTTGCATGCACTCACCTATCTCATCCTGTGTAGATGTGTGTAAATAAACCACCCCTAGGGGTAACAGTATTATTACTGTACCCACGTCAGCTTCACAGCATGTACCTTTACTGGTAAGTTGGCAACAGCAGCCAGGGTAGGGTAGCTCACAAGATGATCTGGATGCCTAGGGTTCAGTTTGTGTTATGGGGTCTGTTCTCAAACAGAGATCAAAAGGTCTCTGACTTAAACTGTATTGCTAAATTAAGCAGAAGTGATGCAGGCGACTGTAAAGCCACCTGGTTGCTTATCCATGTGGATAGTGTGGTTTCTCTCCTTTCAAGCCAGTTAAGGAGGCAGAGAGGAGGAGATTGGACAATTGCCATTATGTAATGTTTAATCTGAACTTGAAAGTGCTTATCCCTGAGCTCTTCAGGATTCATAGCTGTCAAATCCTATCTGGCCAAATGTGCAGCAGTTTGGAGTTTCTTTGTTTTTGAACCCTAAACTGTATTGGCTTGGTTGGGATGGAAACATCAGGGATCTAACGTACGCTAGACATATAAAGACTTTTACTAACATCTTGTCTTTTATAATTAATGTTAAATTTGGATATGATATTGTGCCTTTGTTCACAAAAATAGTATGGTTTTACTGAAAATATAGATTTTATAAACAATGCAAATAATAGCCAACATACGAAGCTGATACTACCCTTCCTTTATTCTACAGATCCTCTGTTTTTAAAAAAAATGTAATGTTTGCAGGCAATCAGTAAATCTAAAGTCTATAAGGTTCTTTTTCTTATGTTACTAGAATATGAGTATGTATATAAAAGTTGGCTTAGGAAGGGGGACCAAAGCTGGCAGTTTGCCTAGGGCTTTGTTCAGTCTTAATCTGGCTCTGATGACAGCTCCTCTTTTTCAATCCTACCAAGATCTAAACAAATTGTAACTCTCTTCTCTGGCATACAGCAAAAATCCATTGCTAAAATTCAATTTTCCCTAAACTTGGAAAATGTGTATCTAATTTACTGACGTGCAGCTGACATATTTTGCATGTAGATGTCAATTTACTAAAGAGGTATTTATTATGCTGGTCTGATGAACCTGTGGTTATAAAGCATTCATTTCAAATTCCCCTCATATGACTATGCACTGGAAATGTACATCTTTGCTAGGCCATCATGAAAATTATTCATCTAGTAATTCCCTACAGAATGATTTAGTTGTGTGCATACAGTAGAAATTTCAGATCACTTGATTACTGCTATAGCATTACAACAAAATATCCAGAACAAAGTGCATAATATATCATCAGTTAGCCCTATTTATTTCAGTTATTGACAAATCTCATCAGGCATTACCTGGGATTGTGCCAGGCACCCAGCTGAAATCTCCAGTTGGTCTTGGTCGACTTGATCCTTGAGTTGTTCCATTCTGTGCTGAGAGGTTAAATGTGAAAGAAAAGATTTATTTAAGTTTGGAGCTAGTATGTATAACTAAGGAAATATACTATAATTACATTTCTTTGTTTAGTTTTGAATTCAGATATATAATGTATTCATTCCTGAATAATGAGGCTTTCCTTACAACAACATCTAAAAGGCAGACATTTAGTAGAAAAAGCACAATTTCTCTGCAAGTAACCAAACTTCTGCAATCAAAAGAAAATTTTCTCCCTACATCTCTTAGCCACGCAGCAAGGAATATTATAGAGTACTGTGCAAATTCTTCTGAACAGCTTGAGTTTTGGCATACCCAGATGTATTTAGGAAGACAAAGAAAAAAGTACAATGTAACCTGTAGAAATTAGTTTTTTTTCCTGTGAATTGAAATCTAATTGGGTTACAGTACTTTGCATCTTGTCACTTAGTGTTTGCGAATATAATCAAAATTCTTTTTGCAATTCTCTTGATAATTGGTATAATAGTAGTTACAGTAAATATGAATATATAGATTGGCAGTCCAGTCATTTGCCTAACCAGTTTTGGGTAAAGGGCAGTTGTGAGATTACCAGGCCATGGGAATTATTACAAGATTACCAAACCATTAAGGCCATGCGCATAAACTCTTAGTAACCAAGTCAAAAGTTTTACACAAGAAAAAACTGAAATCTGATTGGATGCTATGGATGTTGTGCCATGGATTTTTTTATTTGGTATGGAACAAGCCCCATTGTTTTTTAAGTCAACAACCATTTTATCTTACAGCATAGTGTTGAAGAATTAAGTCTACTCAATTGTTTCAATATAAAAAGGTCATAAACATACAGACTTGTTTGGAAACTATTTACAATTGTAACGGGTGTGCGATACAAAAGTCTATGTTTAGGGCTGAGAAAATGAAAAAATAAGCTTCAAATATATAAAATCTTTTCAGCATCAGCCAATGTGCTTAGGAACACAGTACACAAATGAAGGAAATTAAACAGATACCGTAATTAAAATCAGGTGCTTAATAGTTGTTTTTCAAGTAAAGAGTAAATCTGCACAAATTAGCTTAGATATCCTGTCCAGAAAGGTCTTAAGGTTATTATCATACAAGTCAGTGAGAACATTGAGGCATTGTAACTACATGGTTTATTGTGCCTGATACAAGAATATGATTACACTGTAACCTTGTGATTGTTGATATTTTGCCAAATGTCTGGTATTACTTATGTCACCTGAATAGCATATGTGTTATTAGTTATGCCTATCATCTCTTTGTTTTTGCCAAACTGCCAAACTTGCAACCTGATGATTTAGACCCCTCAACAGGAACCCTTTCCCTTTCAAAATATTTTGCTCCTGTTCTTCTGGATTCTTTCCAACTGCAATTACCCAGATCTACTGTAATATACTGACAAGAACTTCATTTTCCGAAAACATAAATAAAGAATAAAGTCTGTAAAAGCCCCCCTTTCCCATTTGACCCCTCTCTCTTTGGCAAAGTATTAAACTACTAAATATAAAAAATAGACATCAGATACAGATTTCTCCCTTTCACACTATGCCAGCTTGCATGTGGGTAGGCAGTATTTGCAAAATCTTGGTGGCAAACTGCCTCTGTGCTGGTATACAAAATGTCAAGGTTGCCAGCCAGAATTATGTAGATGCTGGCAGGCCATAGACAGGCCGGGATTGTTTGAAATGGGAGAAGACTGAGATCTCAGTTTTTTTATTCTATTGCTGAGTGGGAAGGAATAGGCTTCTATGGTAATGTTATCCTTTAGTTATACTCTATATAATAATAATGCTTAATCAGAAAGAATCAGTTAGGAGGAGTGGGACACCATCTTTTGGCATTGTAATACTTTCTAAGGAAAAAATGGGAATTTGGGTGGGGATATTATACTTCTGGGGTCCTTGAGACATATAAGCAGTCAGAACATGAATTAAACTTCCATCAATCATAAGAACCGAACAGGGGCAGACTGACCATTTGGAAACTTGGGCACTGCCCGAGAGCCCAGGGTCAGTAGGGGGCCCCATGAGATGCCCCTGGTACCTTTTTCATAGGCTTTTTTGAGTTTGGGCAAGGACACAGGGGCCCTATGATCCCCTATTGCCCGGGGGCCCCATGAGTTGTCAGTCCGCCCCTGGAATTAAATAGAACATTTTGAGTAGGGTTGGCCTTTAAACTACAAATAATTGATTAAAAGCACACATTAATCTTAAAAAAATGAATGGTGCATTTTGAGTAGGGATGGCTTTTAAACACAGAATATTTTGTTAAAAGCACAAATATATAATGTGTACAGTATATGGAAAACAACACAAATGCTATCACCAAAAAATACAAAAGAATCACAACTTGTTAACTATGGCAAGCTTTGTGCACAAGTGTTTTACAATTCTTGAACATTGCTCAGTGTATGACTGAACCAAACTACTCTAATGTTACAGAAGGACTTTGGGGGAAAATAAATCATTAAAACATATTAGAAAATGAATAGAAAGTTTGGTTGCGAACATTTGTAAAAACTATCACTGGATTGCTATAACAAAAATATTTTATACATTAATTCAGTAGTATTTAATATAAAACACAAATTATTTTTTAAAGAAAAAGAAAAAAAAACACTTTAATGTTTACCTTTAGATAATGCATAATAAATATAAATAAACATTAAAATACTATCATAAAATAAATTACATCATATAATGTTCTTCTTGGTTGGATAGACAGACAGACAGGCAAACAGACAGACCAGGTTCAGTAATTCACATAAATTTTCTGGGCAGATGACAAAACTGAAATCTTTCAGACATAACAACATGCACTTGAGAAGAATTGGAAACACTGACCCAAACCACAACCGCAAAATGTCAGTCTTGGTGGTGGGACTGTTTTTCCACATGATTACCATCTTTTACAAAACTACACACTGGGCAACTTACCATTTTTATGTAACCACAAATTAAGATTTCTATCAGGAAATTTTTGATTGGTCCATTTGTCTACATACTGAGAGTGCCTAAAATTGTTCTTGAAATAAAATAATAAGTCTGAACATTCCTCTAACAATAAAAGTCAGCTCTTAAGGAAGTCTTGTCATTATGCTGTTATGCATATGTTTGTTGTATACAAAAAATGATGCTCACCTCAGGTGCTGCTCTCTTAGTCTATTAATATGATAAGCTACCTCATTCAATAACAACAGAGAAACCGAAGGAGGCTTTAATAATTTTATATATATATATATATATATATATATATCTATACTGTATATATTGATATGTGTTGCAATATTGCTATATTGCAACCTCTGTATTTTTTTAACTAGAAAATTAGCATGTTATTTTGATAATGTGAATCTGTGAAACTGTGAAAGGCTCTTAAATGTAGAAAACAATTATCACCCCTGTCAGATTATTCCTTCTTTTTTGTTGTTGTACATGTCTCATTTGGGAGATTCACCTTCACTTCTTGCCATTATGACCAGGGCCATATCTAGCCTGTCTGATGTGGGGGTGCAGTAAGAAATGACAGGGAGGCAGAGGATGGGAGATCAACAGGGAAGTATACAGGGGGTCAGCAGGGCAGAGGATAGGGTAAGCAGTTTGTAGGGCAGTGTACAGGGACTATTAGTTGTAGGACAGTGTGCAGCGCAGAGTACAGTGGGTCAGCAGGGTGGAGGACAGAGGTCAGCAGGGCAGAGGATGGGAAAGGTCAGCAGGGTAGTGTATCAGGAATCGGTAAGGCAGTGTACTGGGAGTCAATAGGGCAGTGTACAGGGGCCCAAAGGCAGTGTACAGCGGTCAGCAGAGCAGAATACAGGGGTCAGCAGACTTGAGGATAGGGGCCAACTGAGTCAAAGACAAAGGTCAACAGAGGAGAGGAAAAAGGTCACCATTGGCAGGGCAGAGGACAGGAGTCACCACTGGCAGGAGAGAGGACAGGGGTCACCGCAAGCAGGGCACAGGATTGGGGTCACCATTGTTAGGGCAAAGTACAGGGGTCAACACTGACAGGAAAGTGGACAGGGGTCACTGCTGGCAGGAGAAAAGACAGGGGTCACCACTGACAGGAGAGAGGACAGGGGTCATCCCTGGCAGGAGAGAGGACTGGGACCACTGCTGACAGAGAGAGGACAGGGGTCACTGCTAGCAGGGCAGAGGACTGGGGTCACCATTGGTAAGGCAAAGTACAGGGGTCAACACTGGCAGGAGAGTGGACAGGGGTCACTGCTGGCAGGAGAAAAGACAGGGGTCACCACTGACAGGAGAGAGGACAGGGGTCATCCCTGGCAGGAGAGAGGACTGGGACCACTGCTGACAGAGAGAGGACAGGGGTCACCGCTAGCAGGGCAGAGGACTGGGGTCACCATTGGTAAGGCAAAGTACAGGGGCCGGAGAGGGGACAGGGGTCACTGCTGGCAGGAGAAAAGACAGGGGTCACCACTAACAGGAGAGAGGACAGGGGTCATCCCTGGCAGGAGAGAAGACTGGGACCACTGCTGACAGAGAGAGGACAGAGGTCACTGCTGGCAGGAGAGAAGACAGGGGTCATCCCCGGCAGGAGAGAGGACAGAGACCACTGCTGGCAGGAGAGAGGACAAGGGTCACTTTCTCCCATCCCTGTACAGTACATAGCCTAAGCACAGGCACTATGATCTCCTCCTCCCCACACAGCACACACTGTAGCTGGAATCTAATTCCCTTACCCACAGCTACAATCTGCACAGTGAGTAGCTGGTTACTGTGTTGCATTTCTGACCTGTGAAATTCCCTGGTTGGAATGGTAGCTCAGTTACAGTAGCCAGCTACACACTGTGCAGATTGTAGCTGTGTAAGGAAATTGAATTTCAGCTACAGTGTGTGCTGTGTGGTGATGAGGAGACCTTAGTGCCTGTGCTAAGGCTGTGTACCATGCAGGGACGGGAGACGGCTGGCACAGTTCACCCCAGCACACCTCTAGATCTGGCCATGATGATGACAATGTTTTACTATAGCAGAAA